ACTTACTAGCTTGACAGTCAACGCTTTCTGAGCCGGTGACACTCGGCAACACACCACCGTCTCACACTGCGTACCGAGGTTCAGGAAAAGGGGCTTCAGTTCCGGGGTAAGAGCATGCCGCAGGGTATCACCATCGATGACCACAGCAAATGAGGCTTTAGCACCAGGCATGAACCCGCGCTTCCGAATATCCCATGTGGGAGGACCAAGGACCGAAGCAATCTTGTTCAAACCTGCCTCAATTTGCGAGCGCGCCTTTTCAGCAGAGTCCGCAGAGAGAATCATGAGATCCATCTCTTGCTTGAGCAGATTACAACTGTAGCCGATCTCGATGGCAGTTTGTAACTTATCGCCTAAGTGAGGAAAGATTAAAAACGGCGTTCAAGCGAAATGGAAAAACACCCACCAGTCAAAATCCACAACTTGATTCCAGCGCGATGCAGCGTCTCAATAGCCTCCGGAACACCTTCCTGCAACTTGTCTTCTAAAGCTGTAGCACCCAAAATCTGCAGTGAATGTTCAATCAACTCGTTTGCCTTGTCCATCTCCTCGTCCCGATTCTCAATCGCATTCGCCGCATTGTCATACGTCCGCGACCAAGACAGATACTCCTCCTCCTCCAACATCCTATATGCAATACACAGCGTCCGCAAACCCCCATTCGCAAAAAACTCCATATCCTTGCTTGTCTGCTCCTTCAACCGCTGATCATGATCTTTCGCCAACCTCGCATAAATCACACTATCCGCTCCCTTGGAATACAGCACCAGCTTTCCTTCCGGGTTCCGCACAACCACACTCATCCTCTTTCTCGTACTGTTGAACTCTAGCACCCTCAGCACCTCATACCGCTCCTTCTGACCCATGACTTCAATATCGACTCCATCCTTCCCCTTATTGATGAACGGGAACCCAACATCCCTCGCAGCAGCCACTAACGCAGCCTCATCCGGCGACTCAGCCTTATAGTCCAGCCGAAACGGATCGCTCTCCGGTTCCGGCTTGTCTGACAACACCGTATGGCACACCGCCAGCGCCCTAAAGAAAGCGATAATATGCGCCCTCTGCTGACCCTGCCGATCCGTCAAATCCTCCGCCAGCTTGGGCGCAATCAGCGTCAACTTGTCCGGCCGTAGGTACCGATTCTTGAACGACCTCTCCATAACGTTCAGCATCTGCTGCTTCAAGCTGGTCAACTTCTCCGAAAGCTCTTCGGGGTTGAGCATATCGGGATTGCCATCGCGGGTAGCGGCTCCGCGTTGAGCTTCTGTGATGCCTTCGCCGTAGACGACACCGTTGATCGAACACTTTTGGAATTCCATGACGTTTTGGGTGAGGGTACCGGTCTTGTCGGAGAAGATGTACTCTATTTGCCCGAGGTCGTCTGAGATGTTCCATGTCTTTGGGACGCAGGGTGTGTCGTAGGATTCGTAATACATATCGATATCTTGGGAGATAAAATAAGCCTGGATTGTCTTGACGATTTCAATGGAGATGTACAGGGAGATGGGAACAATGTTCTGAAAAGCGATGAGGCATGATCTGGGGTATCAAGAATCAGACATTGCTTGCACAGGTAAAATGAAAAAAGAACCAAACATACACAAAGGTGACGAGGGCATTCAAAACATGGGAATCGGTCGCGTCCACTCCGATTTCGAAAAATTGCGCACTAGTACCTGTTTTGGCATCCTGCAGACCATTGAAAATGGCGGCGATGGTACACATGCCAATGAGGACGATAAAGTTGACGATGACATTGAAGTTTGTCTCCTTTTCGATTTTACTGCGCTTGGACGGCGTCGCACCTCCGTTGAGCATAATTTTGGTGTCTGCGCCTGTGAATACAACCAAGCCGACGGTCCAAGTTGTATTCCGGATAATGCATCCTCGAAGGAGAAGTTCGTTGATGGTTACTGGCTCTTGCTTCCGCTCTCCGGTTGCAGAATCCTTGTAACGAAGGACACCATGATAAAGATACAGGTTCTGGTGCGGTGGCTCCGAGTCCAAGTAGAACGAAGACCGTTCAATGTCCTCCTCGGAAGAGATTCCCATCGTGGCCTTGAGAGACTTCCGAGGCTTGAGATTAGTTTCTCCATCCAAGTTCTTCGTCTCCAAATAACACATGCCGTCTGCATCCGAAGTTGCCAGTACAACAACATCTGCGGGTACCTGCTCGTTGTCTCTGAGAAGAACAATGTCACCCACTTCCAACTTTTTCCATAGAGTTCTTTCCCATGTAGCTGCCCCTGAGATGTGCTTCCTGTAATCGATCACGCCCCCACTCGGCCGGAAATGTTGACTCTGGGCATAGGTAGACATGGATCCCAGACCAACTTGAGTCGAAGATTCGGAAAATGAAAGGGAAGGATCGCGTGGAGGATAGCTGTGAGAGTCGATACTCTGAATATCGTCAAGCTGTCTATGACCGGGAGCTTGGAGATCGATGCTACTAGCCGAAAAGTTATTGACGTCGTTAAGTGCATTCGAGGAGGGATTTGAACGCCCAAGGACGGTGCGCATCACGGCTCCAGCTTCACTTGCATCCCGCTCCCGCAGTTTCCGTATGCCCTTGGTGACCTTACCCGGCGGTGGTGCGCCCATTAGCTTATCAAACCACGACCGAGGATCCTTCGGTAGATTGACATTGCGCCAAGAGCCTCCTATACGAGTGACGGCCGAGTTATTGACTTGATCATCGAGCGAAGCTCTACGATAGTCTTCGATGGCATCCTTGAGAGCCGTGACAGTGAGAATGAATGCGAGGGGGAGGACGGATATGGAGCCATTAGCTGCGCCGAATACAGGAAACACTGCAGCAAACGGTCAGTTTCATAAGCATTGCCTTGCGCAGAACAACATACATTGTACAACGACAAGCACGAGGAAAAATATATTGGCAACGCTGCGGACAGTTAAATGCAATAAACACCAAAATCATCCAGCATAACCACAGTAAACTTACCGTCTGAATTGTTCAAACAAATTCTTTGGGATGAAAGTTATGATTGTGTATTCTTGAGTGCGGGGTCAGGTTAGGAGCTAGGAGGTGAAGCAGCTGGGACGTACTCGAAGTTCGAACCTTGTTCCTCTCATACCTGGCCATGGGTTCTCCATTCTGGTCCAGTTCAGAATGTGAAAGGGGGTGATTTACATAGACATTTCGTCTGAGGCCAGGAATTTCAGTCGAGGGAGTGGAATTGTCTGTCGAATCTGCAGTCTGTGGCCGTTTCTTCTCTGAAATACGGCTCCCAAACAAGCCCCTCCGCCGTTTTTGTTTTCTTCTCTCCGCCTTCTGTTCCGTCCGAATAGCTTCTTCCAATGCAGAAGCTGTAGTCCTGACCGTTCTCAGACGGAGTTCAGGATCGATAGTATCGTCTTCTTCGTCATCACTGTCCAGATGCCTCGAGGTCACCGAACGTTTTAGAAAGGACATAATTTATCAGCAGCAGCAAAGGGGTATCCGAGACGGACAGACCGAGAGCCAGCACGGTGAAGGTGAAGGTAAAAGAGCGGATTAGCTGGAACTCTGGGCGGTGAATGGACAAGCTTTGCTATGCGGCAAGTGTGTTGCAGTAACACTAACAGATGCCAAATCTTTCCCGGCGGTGACACATTGATCCCGCTTAGTCAGCACCCGTCGCCCGAAAAAAAATTCAAAGTCCCCTTTCTTATCCCTGGCTCAGTATTCTTGGAACGTTCTTGGCTCAACGCTTGTCCATGTCTGAACACTGCAAAGGCTCCAAGCTGGACTTGCTCTCTTCACTTTTCCCGGCCTTCCTCCTTTCCGTACCTCCTAGGACATATACTTACATTGAGTATATAGCAGCCATTACAAGTGATGAGACTGCCGGAGGCTACGCAGTGCGCAGTGACAGTTTTCCCGCAATGTCGGGCTATTGGTATACTTCGACATCTGATATTCTTAATTGAATTCTCAATTGACCAAGCGTTTGTTTTAATCTATACAACCTAAAACTCCGGCACTCCTATATTTGAATCTCCTTGGCTTTAGCCTTTAAGTTTCCTCCAGCTTTCCTCCAACCTCCTTCAAGGTCGATACTCACATGAAACGCCCATAGAGGTCAAACACTCCGAGTCCGAAAGCTGAATCGGGTCATCTTTATTCCCATTTACCTACGATTTAAGATGACTCCTGTCCTAACAACCATCCACGTCGGAAGTACGGGCGCTACCTTCTATCCTGGGCGAAATATACTACTATCCGTATCGCTCGAGTGACGGAAGTGCGGGAGATTGTAAGTCGACTCTATTCCTGGTGACTGCGGTCCTCTGCGGTCTCACTGGACATGTTCGCCGCTCATCCGTAGTAGAGACGAATACAAAAAATCTGAGTAGCTTTATACTCCGTTCTGAGTGATTTCGCTAAAATCGCACTGAGTCCTCCCAAGGCTGCGTATCTTTGCCGTTCGTGTCAGGTCGCAACAATTTGAGCATTCGACCAAGCATCATGTCTGTTCATGCCAGCATCCCTTCGGGCTTCCTGATGGTATTACGAACACCGTGACTATCTGATGCAATGGATGTAGAAACAAGTCATTTTCAGAACAGAAGAGCTATTCCCACCTACGCAAGCTGCCTACCTTAGGCTGTAAATGCCCCATAACTACTACTTTGAATTATACAATATACAAGCCACAAGAGAAGCCGGATCGGAGAGGCCAAAAAAAGAGCCAAGCCCTCCAGAATTTGTAGGTTTCCATATAAGGCAGTGACATCTCTTTTGACATCCATTATACACATTGGGGACAAGAACATCGAGAAAAAAACCGCAAGGAGGACAGACTGGAGCTACATTATATCATATCGCTGTGCAGACCATTCTTGGACGAGTATGATACAAATCGGGGAAACAAAGACGTTGAAACCCTAAGTGGGTGTAAAAATGAACGAACTATTAAAGAATGAAACAATGCTCCAGATATCTTTCGTATAGCAATGTTCAAGAAACGAGAGAAAAACATGTCCAGGTCTCACAGTGATGAGAGTGGGATTTGAACCCACGCCACGAATGACTAGAGATAAGTAGGTACCTAAATCTAGCGCCTTAGACCACTCGGCCATCTCACCATTGATAACCGGTTGACTGCAAGACAGAGAAGTTAAAGCATCCTATAGCTATAACCGCATTAGAAATTCAAAAATATCTGTACACCAGTAGCGTATAGAAAATAAAATTATCTATAATTTCACACTCATACCACAATACATATAAGTATGTATTCCCCAACTAATATAAAAAAACGTCCCCAGCCCCTCCTAGCTTCCATCATACAACCCCCCTCTCCCCCTCCTCCCAACCCCACACCCCTTAAATCGTCCACTCATGAATAGGAAGCCGATCCAATCTCTGAATCCCATCATACATCTCCTGCTCCTGCGGCCCAGACTGAATAATATGCCTAATCAAATGGACCTGCGTCTCATGCAAAAGCGAAATCCGACTAAACACCCTCTTGATAGGCTCAATCGAGAGTTCCACATTGGGCACATACGGCACAGCGAGGTAGACCCTAATGGATTTCAATCGGGCGACAGGTAGCGGAACGTCGTTCCTGGCAGCCTCGTACCAGCGCGAGGCGACAAAGTGTCTTAGAGCAACGGCTTGCACCATGGCGTTGATGGTGAACGTGACATCTTTGAGTTTCGGGAGTTCGAGGATCGGAGGAGGGGGTGACGAAAGAGTCAAACTCGGAGATGGAGGTGGGTCGGGGAATTTGAACGTAAGCATTTGGAGCAGCTCGGTGCTCATGGATGTCCTCCATTGGTCGATTTCTAAAACTTCGAGAGTGTCGCGTAGACCTGGGAGCTGGAGATAAGTAATCAGCTCGGTTTCTGAAAAAGACAGGTCGCGCAAGGAGAGAGCCTCCAGATTACATCTGGACCGGATTAACAAGCCCGTGAATAAATCATCGGGCCAATCGTCGGTCATTTCGCCAGCACCCTCTAGCGTGAGCTGCTTCAGTGAAGGTAGCGTAAGCCATCGGAGAAGGACGGGTAACTGCTCCTCTCGGATATAGATTATAGTCAAGGTCCGCAAATGCTCCAGAGCAATCCCTTCTTCCAATTGGTGAGTAAAAGGATCCTCGACTTTCGTGTCCAAGCTCACATCGCAAGTTTGCAAGCATGGACAGCTCATGAAAACGGTAAAAAGATCGTCAATCTGAATGCCACTCTGGGCTTCAAAGGTCTGCAGGTGGACCCATGAAATGGGAGCGGCGTCCGGGACTCGAAGACTGGGTACGAGCGCGTTGAAAATAATGTGACGAATGTTTGGCGAAGCTCGTAAAAGCTCCGTCGTCCAATTGGCAGCATCAGAGGCGTGGTCCTGGTGGTGCCAGTCACTAAAGCACGCTTCGATCAAATTGGGTGCACCAGAAGAGGGGATGGCGGGGAATGAGGTGGCAGGGAGTTCAGCACAGTAAGCATAGGCGCAAAAGTCGAAATACCGCCAGCGAGATATCTGAGTCATAAGGTCATCCAGCGTACCAGCTACTGCTTCGACGATTTTCTTTTTATGGGTTTGCTCGCGGTTACCGAAGGCTGAGATGCTTAAGGTGAGGTACAAGGGAGACTGACGTGAAAGTTCAAGGGCACGTTGGACAATACCAGCGTATTTTGTCTGCGCGACGGGAGTATAGTGAGGGAGAGAAATACAGGACCAAAGAGATGGCATGGACTTTGCGATATCCCGCCAACGTCTGCAGACCTGAGAAAGGCGGCAAGGATAATCAGAAGGCTTGGGATACAGCACGCAGCGATCATCCCGCTCATCGATCGTTGGTCGGGGGTTCGTACAAAGGACGAAGATTTCCGACAGAATCTCTGCCGGAAGTTTACGGACACCGCAAAGGAGCGACTTGTACCGTAGTTTTTGCTGCTGGTATTGCTTGATCCGCATCTGAAGCCTTGCGAGATACTGGTTAATCATTTCAATGGAGCCATTTATCAGTTTGATATCGAGCGAGGAAGGGGGCTCGTTGGAACTGAGGAGAAAGTTCAATCGCGCCGTGTCGTCTTCGCCTAGTGAAATGGCATTTTGGGCCATTTCTCGTATCTTTACCGGATATTCTGCGACAATCATTGATAATTGAGCAGATTAGATAGATCTGGGGCATACCGAAGTCCAGATAAGATGTTGTCGGAGGAGCTTCAAATGGTGGTTAAATCGCAAGTTTAGCGCAATTTAACGCCCAATAGCGCTTCTGTAGGCGCTGATGCCGTGACTGTTTCCTTTCAAATTCCTACACCCATCATCACATATGCAGCTTTGCTCTCGATGCGGAGAAAATGTTCCTGAATCTCGAATCAGGGTTGATTTTCCCTCTCTACACGCCCGACTTCGCTCAGAATTCGGTCCTGCTTCAGGCCAACCGGAAGAAATTAACCCAATCCTCGAAAGCTTGCAGCAGGACCTGGAAGATCTGGAAACAGCTGGTTTCGGTCTTCAGACGCATCGGAGCTGTATAATAGAACTTGCGGCTCAAACTAAGTCGTTGCTTTCACCCATCCGGAAGATCCCAGATGAGATTTTGCAAGATATCTTCGATTATTGCTGTGATACGAACTCCTTCGTGGTGTCCGCACCATCTGAAACGGCTACCTGCGATATCAGGAATAAGCCTACAATGGTGCTTAGCAGTACTTGCTCTCGCTGGTATCGGAATGCCTTATCTATGCCTACTCTCTGGTCTAGAATCACTTTGGATTGGAACTGGGTTCTCAGCGATTTTGTTGTGGGTTCGGACGCATATTATAAACGTTCTTTCGCCTTGGCCACCTTTCTCAATCGCTCCTTGCAGCAGCCACTGGCTGTGAACATCATAATTAAGGGTGCATCGCCGCGTCTCGGGAATGGCACGATGCATCCAATTCCGGCCCAGCTGGTTGAGCAGAAGCATCGCTGGAAAAGCTTGACCTTTGAGTCACCAGTCATTCTCATCCACGATTTATTCGAGGAATATATCATGCCGGAGCTCCCTCTTCTAGATGACCTGGAACTTTTGGATCCCGACGATGATCTCGAGTTGTTTGAGGATAGAGCATTGAGATTGAAGGCATTGAGAATGCCGTATTCATTTCCTTTTCAAGGAAAAGAGCGGTTCACGTACCCTCATCTTCTTCATTTGGAATTGGAACTCGATCTGGATGAAGATAATCCCGATCTGTTTCAAGTCACGCCTAACCTTGTCTCGTTATCAATTGGACTCCTGGAGAGTGTCATGGCAATGAACTCGTTGAGGCCATGCCGCCGCGTTCAGCGTTTTTTCCGTTGAAGACATTGACTGTGCGCCACGGCAACCTGATACCGCTATTTTCGGCATTTTCACTGTACACCTTCCCTTCACTGAACACCCTTCATCTTAAGCCGGACAAGGATATCAAACTGAAGCCAAATATTTGGTTCAATTTTGATCCATTTATGGCGTTTTTGGAACGGTCATCTTGCCTGCTTACGACTCTATTCATCGAAGGCCTCTCGCTCTCTGATATTCAACTCGTTCGCCTTCTGCGTCACGTCCCAACTCTCCGCGATCTCACCATCATTGACACCGATATCGCAGGCTCTTTCAGCCCCATATCGAAGCAGTTCATTGAAAGCCTTCACACCTCCCGAACCAGTGACCTCCGCTTGGAAGCGGAGCCTCTTATTCCACGGCTGCATTCTTTAACGCTGGATACTGGTGCCACCGCCTTTCGCGACAAAGTAGTCATCGATATGGTGCGTTCCCGATGGATACCCTCTGTCATTTCCTCCGCAAATGGTATATCCAGCTCTATAAAGGAAGGCCTACCTCCGGTCGACTGTCTCCGAGAGTTCACCATGAAATTCCGCAATAGATCTAATCCCGGGGACGTCTACGAGCCACTGGACCTTACTGAGAAGAATGGAATGAGATTGGTGATCACCTGGAAAAAGTAGGATGTCTATGTAGTTACTCATGCTGTTTCGATTACATGCACTTGCTATGTAGCTCGCGTGTTCAGGAATTGCTTTGGTACCATTTTTGGCGTGTTTCTGGCCAAACAGAACTCAGCGTCTATTGGGCGCCTGACGTCTCCTTCCGCCGTCCATCATCAGAATGCAGGCTTGCTCCCGCTGCCAGAAAAACGTATTGAAACCTCGCGTGGAATTAGATTTCACCTCCTTACACGCAATTCTGCGCTCAGAATCTGGTCCTGCTTCGGTTCAACCGGATAAAATTAACCTGATCCTCGAACGACTGCTGCAGGACTTGGGAGATTTGGGATCGACTCGCCTTGGCATCGATGCGCATCAGACCTGTATATCAGAGTATGCGGCTCAAACTAGATCTCTACTCTCACCTATCCGGAAGATCCCAGATGAAATTCTGCAGGTTATATTCGATTATTGCTGCGACATGAACCACTTCGTTGTGTCCAGGTCATCTGAAACAGCCATCTGCAATATCAGGAATAAGCCTGCACTGGTACTCAGCAGTACCTGCTTCCGTTGGCGTCGTAACGCCGTGCATATGCCTACACTTTGGTCCAGAATAACTTTAGATTGGGATTGGCGTCCACCTGTGGGCAACGCATATTATGGGAGCAAGGCATATCATGAACGTTCTTTCGCTTTGGTTACTTTTCTCAATCGGTCCTCGCAGCTGCCACTGGCTGTGAACATTATAATCAGTGGCGCATCTTCCCTGCATTTCACGAACGGCAAGATGCATCCAATTGCGACACAACTAGTTGAGCAGATGCATCGCTGGAAAAGCTTAACCTTTGATTCGCTACTCATTCGCATTGAAAATTTAATCGGGGAAAGTGTCGTGTCGAAGCTTCCTCTCCTAGATGACTTAGAACTTTTGGATCCTTCCGACAATTTCAAGATGTTTGAGGATACCGCGCCAAGATTGAAGGCATTGAGAATGCCATATTCATTTCCTTTTCGTGGAAATGAACCTTTCACGTTTCCTCATCTTCATCATTTGGAACTGGACCTGGATCAAGGTTTTCTCAATCTCTTCCATCATACGCCTAATCTCTTTCCTAATCTCTTGCCTAATCTTGTCTCTCTGGAAATTGGAGAGTGTGTTGAGAGT